ATCTTTACACGCGAAACAGTAAAGCTACATAAACATGTAAACAGCAATGTTATATCTTTACACGCGATACAGTAAAGCTACATAAACATGTACACAGCAATGTTATATCTTTACACGCGATAAAGTAAAGCTACATAAACATGTACACAGCAATGTTATATCTTTACACGCGATACAGTAAAGCTACATAAACATGTACACAGCAATGTTATATCTTTACACGCGATACAGTAAAGCTACATAAACATGTACACAGCAATGTTATATCTTTACACGCGAAACAGCAAAGCTACATAAACATGTAATCAGCAATGTTATATCTTTACACGCGATAAAGTAAAGCTACATAAACATGTACACAGCAATGTTATATCTTTACACGCGAAACAGCAAAGCTACATAAACATGTAATCAGCAATGTTATATCTTTACACGCGATAAAGTAAAGCTACATAAACATGTACACAGCAATGTTATATCTTTACACGCGATACAGTAAAGCTACATAAACATGTACACAGCAATGTTATATCTTTACACGCGATACAGTAAAGCTACATAAACATGTACACAGCAATGTTATATCTTTACACGCGATAAAGTAAAGCTACATAAACATGTAATCAGCAATGTTATATCTTTACACGCGAAACAGTAAAGCTACATAAACATGTACACAGCAATGTTATATCTTTACACGCGATAAAGTAAAGCTACATAAACATGTACACAGCAATGTTATATCTTTACACGCGATACAGTAAAGCTACATAAACATGTAATCAGCAATGTTATATCTTTACACGCGATAAAGTAAAGCTACATAAACATGTAAACAGCAATGTTATATCTTTACACGCGATACAGTAAAGCTACATAAACATGTAATCAGCAATGTTATATCTTTACACGCGATACAGTAAAGCTACATAAACATGTAAACAGCAATGTTATATCTTTACACGCGATAAAGTAAAGCTACATAAACATGTAATCAGCAATGTTATATCTTTACACGCGATAATGTAAAGCTACATAAACATGTACACAGCAATGTTATATCTTTACACGCGATACAGTAAAGCTACATAAACATGTAATCAGCAATGTTATATCTTTACACGCGAAACAGTAAAGCTACATAAACATGTACACAGCAATGTTATATCTTTACACGCGATACAGTAAAGCTACATAAACATGTACACAGCAATGTTATATCTTTACACGCGATACAGTAAAGCTACATAAACATGTAAACAGTAATGTTATATCTTTACACGCGATAAAGTAAAGCTACATAAACATGTAATCAGCAATGTTATATCTTTACACGCGATAAAGTAAAGCTACATAAACATGTACACAGCAATGTTATATCTTTACACGCGATACAGTAAAGCTACATAAACATGTACACAGCAATGTTATATCTTTACACGCGATAAAGTAAAGCTACATAAACATGTACACAGCAATGTTATATCTTTACACGCGATAAAGTAAAGCTACATAAACATGTAAACAGTAATGTTATATCTTTACACGCGATACAGTAAAGCTACATAAACATGTAATCAGCAATGTTATATCTTTACACGCGATACAGTAAAGCTACATAAACATGTAATCAGCAATGTTATATCTTTACACGCGATAAAGTAAAGCTACATAAACATGTACACAGCAATGTTATATCTTTACACGCGAAACAGTAAAGCTACATAAACATGTAAACAGCAATGTTATATCTTTACACGCGATACAGTAAAGCTACATAAACATGTAAACAGCAATGTTATATCTTTACACGCGAAACAGCAAAGTCACATAAACATAACCTTGTAGAAAGTAAAGTTATATCATTACTAGCGAAACAGCAAATCTACATACACATAAATATCTTTACACGTGACATAGCAAAGCTACCCATGTATAAACAAAGTTTGTTAACAATGTTATCACTAGCAACTATTTTTATAATATTTATACACTTGTAAAAATTAAGTTATATCTTTACACCTGATATAAGATGTAAAAGAACAGAAATATCTGCACATGTAGCATAGTAAAGCTACACACGTCTACACGTGTAAATGTAAAGCTTAATCTGCACACCTGACACTGAAAAGCTATAAATGTTTACATGTGTTTTATCTGTATACGTGAAACAGTAAAGCTACCTATGTATGTTGATTTTAAAGTAAATATATATTTTTTCACATGATATAATAAAGTTAGGTATCTATACACGTGTAAGATAAAGTTTTATCTAAACACGTGTATGATAAAGTTATATCTAAACACGTGTAAGATAAAGTTTTATCTAAACACGTGTATGATAAAGTTATATCTTACCATGTGGTAGATTAACGTTACATATGTAGACACATGTTATACCTGTACTCGCAACATAGTAAAGCTACATATGTATTGTGCACGTGAGAAAAGTGAAGTTATAGCTATACAGGTGCTGTAGTAAAGCTGTGCATGTACACACCTGTAAAAGTAATGTCATACCTGTGCTGTGCAAGTGATATAGTAAAGCTTCAAATGTATACACGTGTAAAAGTAAAGTTATACATATATATACGTGATCGAGTAAAGCTACAAATGTTTACACGTGTAAAAGGCAAGTTATATATATATACGTGAACGAGTAAAGCTACAAAAAGTATACACGTGTAAAAGTAAAGTTATATATATATACGTGATTGAGTAAAGCTACAAATGTATACAAGTTTAAAAGTAAAGTTTTATATAAGTGATTGAGTAAAGCTACAAATGTATACACGTGTAAAAGGCAAGTTATATATAAGTGATCGAGTAAAGCTACAAATGTATACACGTGTAAAAGTAAAATTATATATATATACGTGATCGAGTAAAGCTACAAATGTTTACACGTGTAAAAGTAAAGTTTTATATAAGTGATCGAGTAAAGCAACGAATGAATACACGTGTAAAAGTGTACAATTAATATTGTAAAATTACCTGTGTATGCACATGGTTAAGAATTTATGTCTATACACGTAACAGAGTAAAGCTGTACATGCATTCACGTGTGAAATTCAAGCCATAAATTAAAAAATTACCTCAGCTGGTACATTTTAAATTTAGAAATATTTTTATCCACTTATCTATATTTTTAAACATATATATATTGGTGACAGACTCGTTCTTTCTATTTCAAAGCGGACGGACCTCTCTATAGTGATTCTCTGATATCACTCTATCAGTGACATCAAGATCCCCATAGAAGTGAGTTTGTTATATTCAGTCCCGATTCTAAAGTTATGTAATAGTCAATTACAGACATATATGAGCAACACCGAATCAACTAGGTGTGTACAGATCCAAAATAAAGTTATAATGTACAAACAATATTAAAACCACATATGTATACTAGCAATACTAAGTAGAGTTACATATATAAAAGTAGATTTCCTTAACGTACATCTATTTGAACACGTGCAATGTACAAAATTAAACTATCTACATAATTTGGAGACTGGAACCAGGATTAAAATGTACCCTTGTTTCTGTTATATTTTATCTTATAACTTAAAAAAAATCAAACGCGCGTATTTTACATGTACACATGGTGAAATCACAGCACAGGGGAAATAACTCCCGTTAGTTTGACATTTGGTTTGACTGCCGGATTTTTTTTTTTTTTTTCTTGTAGCTCAATAAAAAAAATTATAAAGAAAACTAAAAATGTACCGAAGTGTTTTACGGAATCATAATTCAAAAACAAATTCGACGAAGCTATAATAAAATATGAAGAAAAGAGATTTACATGGACACTCCTGAAAAAGTACAAGGAGAGTAAGACCAGGTGTTCCGGTAGAGCGGCTTCTTCATCTACGATACCCGCCATGTAGATATTGATCATTCAAAGTAAGTAGTGTTATGTTCACTAATGAGAACACAGTAAGCAACAACGGAATCATCTGATATGCGACCAACAATAAAATGCATCAAGCTTCATGTCATTAAGACAAAATATTTCTCGATGAGATCACTATGACGACCTAAAAACTTCCTCATAATCTTCATCAACCTGAAACTCACAGGACCCTGTACTGTGAGTGTGTCAGTTGCCAACATCTTGCACAAAAATCGTGATACTGGGAACAAATCATAATACCGATTAAACTGCAACATGGAAACAACATAGGTTGGTGCTGTTGTGTCCTTGGTTTCCAATTATGGTTGGGATATATACGCTATCTAAATCATCATCAATACCTGAAAGTGAAATCGAGGGACACCACAAGGTTTTTGTGGTCTGAATTTCTTAGCTATGTGATAAATTCGGCTTCGTATATATAAACCAACAGAGGGGCACAGTTAGGTTCCATACATGTAGGTATGGCAATATTCTGTTGGAAGATCTTACCACCAAACTCAAAGAAGATATTGTCAACCAGGAATTATAGTATGTAAATAGCTGAAATAACCCAGTAGTAGTAACCTTTTCAAACGAATCTGTTCTAAACTGCTCTATTCGGAAGACAACGGGAAATGCTGTGGTAATAAAAAGCCTCGTATTTATTTATTTAGCAGGTTTTACGCCCACTATTACGGCCTTTCAGCGGACGAGGCCTCATATTTTGCGGATAACAGGGAATGCTGATGATAGAAAAATTTCGACTCTATGCTTGAGTTGTTCAGCAGAAAAAAAACTTGTTTTGTGCAATTAACTCAATGGGATAAATACTTTAGAATACAAAATCACATGTGATAAAACTTGTAAAGCAATTTTTTGATATACCAGTGGTATTCAACTTCAGGTTTCAATATTTCTAAAACATAACCCTGAAATATATATGCTAATATTTGTCTGTGTTTAGGTTTCAATCCTATGTCTTCGCCGAGGTGCGAGTGTGGAGTATAAATGCACGTGCACACATCCGTTTCGCGCCATCTTCATAAAAACGACGAGAAATTTGGTGTAGTCGGTTGTAATTCTCTTGTAATTCAAACGCGAAGAAATGGCGGACTCCGATTCATCACCGAAGAAAGTCGTCAAACCAAAGGCGCCATCCCAACACCCAACCTTTCTATCTATGGCCGTGGAAGCCGTGACGACCCTAAAAGACGCCAAGGGCGTTTCTGTTCCCGCCATTCGTAACTTTATCACGGAGAAATACAGAACTGTGGACCTGGGAACCTTGCGTTTCCGATTGAAACAAGCACTTACCAAGGCACTGGAAAAAGAGACTTTAGTGAAAACAAAGGCAACAACAGAGAAACCCCTGTTAATGAGTAGGTTTAAACTCAACAAAGAGAAACTGCTTGCTTTGGAGAAAGCCAAAGCTAAAAAAGAGAAAGCGAAGGAGAAGACCGAAAAATCAACGAAGAAAGCCACAACAAAGAAGACAAAATCTACAGAGAGTCCAAAAAAGAAAACAAAAACGACAAAGGCGAATGTTTCTCCAAAGAAAGCTGTTAAGGTCAAGAAAGTCCCAAAGACTCCAGAGAAAAAGGTCAAACCAAAGGCAAAGGCTGTCGTAAAATCTGCAGTAAAAAAGGTATGTAGGTCCCGTCTTCAGTTGTAACCGCCGACAATTAAAATCCGCGGGTAACTAAAATTAAGCATTATCGCAGACTCTAATTTCGGCCGGTTGGTGACCGAATGGAGCCTGCCATTGTTGGCGAGATTTAGTGATCTAGATTGGACCAATATACGTCAGTCCCATACCAAAGTGACACGAATTGTTTCCATATGAATGAAGTATAGTGATATGGAAATTTTTACTTAAAAAACCAACATAATACCATTTCAATAAGGAAGCAACTATTTCATAATTTGTGAAAGTGGATCTCCTGAAAAAATTTTTGAAGGCCAAAAATGACAGTTTTTCAGTAAAATTAGGGAAGCAATCAATTGAATTCCTCGTTAATAGATAATCTTTTGATTGCCAAATACAAGATGGTCGTCCTTTGGCCATGTTGGGTTTTTTTTCTGATTAATCCCAAAATCAGGACAAATGGGAACCCTACAAAGAAACGTGAAAGATATAACTGACACTAATTTTTAACATTAAAGAGGACTGCCTATCGGCAAATTCGTACTCCTAATCATGACTAAATAAAATATGTACAACTAGGGATCAAGAGTTTGCATAGGAAATTTAAGATCCAATCAACTTTTTGGGCATATCATGGGCAAAAAGAAACAACTTGTGCATATAACGACTCTTTATACTTATTAAAATATGTATCCATCCATATGTTGAAAGCTTTCTCATTGGTCAATCTATGCTAATCAATTATAGATTAGAGGCAAAGTACAGAAGTTACAATGGAAGGGAAACAACCCATTTCAACACTATCTTCTCAACCTCAAAGGGAGATAATCTTGATATTTGTACCAAAAAAATCATTGTTCATTTCAAAATATTTTTTTCAGTTACTATGGTGGCTAATAGTTGTGAATTCTTATTTCACCTGTTGTATATGTATTTTAAAAGTGTAAAATGAAAACAATAACTTTATATTCTCTTACTATATTCCAAGAAATTGATACTTTCATTGTTGAAATCCAAAATGTTGGTCTGTCAGCCATTTTGTTTTTCTGATCAGTCGCAAAATTTAAAGGGCAAAACTAGGGACGAAGGGGCTCCTACATATGAATTTGAATGATCTATTCAGTACCTCAAGGAATAGTGTAACAAGAATTGCTTACGGACACAACTCTTCCAAAAGTTGCTTATTCTACATGCTGATTAAGAAGTGTAGTGAAAATGCCTTAAACTTTGAAAGAAATTTGATAAATGAAATCTTCAGACAATACTAAAAACAAATGGCAGCAACCCTACTAAAAAGTCCATTCATCAGTAAATCTTTGCAGATATTTCAATATTAGTGTTGGAAACGGGATTTCATGTCTTATGCACATATTTTGATGATTTCAGGCCATAAAAACACCAAAGAAAACTACAAAGAAATCTGCCAGTGGAAAAGTGAAAGGCAAATAGACATCACCGGAGAACATATTGGACTGTGATAGTGGCAAACTGACATTGATAAAATTTAACTGTTCATGGCATGGATAACATTTTTTAACAATTTAAATTTTAGCGCTATAAAAGATGTGCTGTTTTGTGAAAATCTGATAATACCTAACTTTTTAATAAAATGTTTTTAACAGGAGATTGTTGTTCGTGAAGTCTGTTAAAACCACTACACTGGAATCAAAATTTTTGCCTTCCAATAGTTTGAATCTTTGCATTGTATTTAATGTCTAGGTGGCATATTTAAGAATAAAAGGTTTTTTCTTTGAAGGAGCTGTAAAAATTTCAAGCGCCATACAAGTGTTTTTGGAAGGGCAAATGGCAACCATTCTAATCCAAGCATTTGGATTTGTTCAGACTGGGCACTTGGCTAGAAATTTGACACTAGTTAGCCTACCACTGGTCCAGGACATAGGATTGAAACTAACGAGAAATCTCTTTTAATGATGGCAAAATGACCGTTGGTGTACTTCAATATTCCTAACTTGTATGTCTGCTACATAGTTGTCTCAGCTGCAAGACAGAAGCAATGCTACATGCACCTGAAGCAAAACAGTGTTGGGTGTGTATACTGCAGGCCCTGTATAGGTAGGCAGACATTGCTATATATACATGTCCATTTCACATACAGGAGGAAAAATATTGTCAAACTGAATACCTAGAAATGTCAATGACTTCTATTGTAAAAGCAAAATTTCGTGTTATGATAAAGCTTGCTAAGTTTGAGAGGAACGCCAGTCAAGAGTGCTGAAAAGAACAAACTCAAAATCCAAGATGGCAGTCTGTCAATGCATAAAAATGAACAAATTTAAATCTGAAAAATGATGTAATTGTTAATTTCTCCGAGAGAAAAAAATGAAAATTGTTTTAAGGACAGACAAATGAAGGTTTAATTGAACAGCTCCCCCTTCTGATCACATAGACTTAAAATAACCTTCACAAATCAAATCCAAAATGCCATCCATGAAAATAGTCTACCACATTTAAAAGGAATAAATAGAAAAAGGTCTCTTCTGTATAATGAAAATAAATCTTTAAGAAAAAACCTACAAGCTGCTTAAATTCAGGAAGTAAATCTTTAGGATAAAAATGGTGGGACAGATGAATGGACAAGACGATATAAGACATCCTGTCAAAATTCTTGATTGGTACGTAAATATCAAAGTGTTTACTGCAGGATGTTTGCATCACATTGTCTTTCTTTTTAAAATGGGGCAAAGCCACAATTGGCCAGGTTGCAGGATGAGTGCGAAGTTATATATCATGTTCAAATGTTCAATGTTCAAAATAAGGCAATTTAAACTTCACAATCTCCTTGTAGGTTAGAAACATGCACACAAATTGTAAAATACAACAAAGACATCGACAATCAGCTAGGTGTTTTATTTTGTTTGTCTCTGAGTTGTCTATACAACTTAATTGCCTTGTTTCGTTCACTGTCCATAGTGTGTTGCTGTGAAAGGGACATTTGTTTTCGTTTTAGTGTCTGACCAACTTCACGTGATGACAGTATGCTTCTTCCCAAGCCCTCTCTTGCATTGCCAGCAATAATCTCCTTCAGAAGTAGAGATTTCTTACCAGGCTAGAACATAAAGTAACATGACTTTACAAATGACATACTGTTCATTTAAAGACAATACTATTTATACATATATGAAACATGATTTGGGTAACAAATAAGATGCATGTACACCCACAGGGTTTACCTGTGGGACAGTGATTTAAAAAGTCTGGGAGGATAAAACAAATTTGGGAGGACGGACAAGTATGATTTCTGTATGCTTGAGTTTTGAAAAATATCATTTGATCTTTCAATGACACATGACAATATCACATTTCAAATGTAACAATTTACTTTTCATCATTTTCCATATATCCTTAAATGCACAAACAATCATCAAATTGTAACTGAAACAGATTCTTTCCTCTCCCAAAAGCTTTATGCACAAAATTTATGTCTTCCAATCTACAAATTTTCCTAGCACTTTTTGGTGAAAGAGATGAAAATTACCAACCCTAGGAATAGCATCCTTGGACCCAGGTGCTTTTTTTGGTTTAATCTTCAAGGTGGGTGGTGCCATAGCAACCTCTCCAAATCGTACTTTATCTGTAAATAACACAAACAAATTGACAGGGTTATTGTACATGGTTACATTTAATGGATACAATAAGGTGATACATTTGGGGGACAATCCCTCCCTTTACCCCAAATAATATGAACAATAAAAGAAATGAAGTGTTGTACATTAAATCAATCTGACAATTTACAATATTACTATGCATTGCACAGAATTAGAGAACAACTTCATCCAAGACTTAACGACAAATAGTAGAAGGTTACAGGTCAGCCATTTCCCTCTCAATCAGTATCAAAACTGAAAAATGCACAACTAAGTTCCACCAGGAACCTACAATCAATCACTACTTCTGTATTATCATAAATAACTTTGTTAGAGTCTAATAAAGACTACCTCCTTCCATACTTTTATACAACCATCCAAACCCTGGACCACAGAAAAGTAACATGTTTGAGAAAGATCCATCAAGCACTGCTTAAGAAATGGAGATATTAAACAAAATTTACTAGCAAATGAATGCATGATGAACCGAGAACTAAGAGCACAGCCCAACCAGTAGAGAGAAGGAGGAGGTCTTTATATACCATACAAATAATTACCATTGAGATATGAGAAATCCCCTTTTTTCTCCATCTGGTGTTCCAGTTTCTTTTCTTTCTTATGAGTTTTCTTTTCCTTCAGTCTCCTGAAATGAAAACAGCACAACTATTTTCCAATTTACCTTTCTCACCACATTAGAATGAAAGAGGAATGAAATTCATGATATTGATAAAGCAAAGGAATACACATCCATAAGAATAGCCTGTAATTCAAACTTTTGGGGTTGCTTATCCTCCTAGGTCCTACAAATTAAATCAAGAAAAGGAATACACATCCATAAGAATAGCCTGTATTTCAAAATTTGGGGGTTGCTTATCCTCCTAGGTCCTACAAATTAAATCTGATTCAGATTTTATTTATCTGTTTGACATACTAATGTATTTCTTAAGAGGTCATTATACAAAAATGGGTTTTTCCATTTTTTTCTGTACAGAGCATGACTTACATTTTTTTAGCACTATTCATCTTTTTCTTCTTTTTCGTTATGTTTCCATTCTCAAGTTCTTCAAAGTCGACCTGAAACACATCACAATATTTATTTTCTCAAGTTCTTCAAAGTCGACCTGAAACACATCACAATATTAATTTTCTCAAAATCCTAAAAGTTTACCTAAAACACAGCACAATATTAATTTTCTAAAGATCCTCAAAGTTTACTCAAATCAATGCAAGGTATTTATTTTTTATCCTCAAAGTCGACCTGAAACATAGCACAATACTAGCATTCTATCCTCAATGTCGATCTAAAACTTTACATGATATTAATTTCCTATCCTCAAAGTTGACCTAAATCATTTCCACTGTGCTTTGGATAATTTCTTTTTGTTTTGTTGAAATCTTAATGTTCTGATTACTGATGTTATATGACCAATTCATTGTTAATGCAATGTAATGGAGAGGAGTGGAGGGGAAGGGAAAGGGGGAAAAAGATTCAAAATGGGGAAAAAAATAATAAATAATGAAAATGGTTGATACTAAGATCTTTCTAGGGTTTACCTGATATTTGTCTGACAACTGTGATGTCAAAATAACTGCCTTTGTTTCTCTATCAACTCTTGCCATGAACTTTCCCTCACTTTCATTTCTATGTTGAATAAATCTTGGTGCTGGCATCATAGGCTTTGTCATGCCTTTTTCTGCATGGTCGTCATCTGAAATAAAATGGAATGTTAGAAAAAGTCATAAAGAATGTCTCACACATTAAGTCTCTTCAATAACCAATCAGTCACCAGGTACAACATCGAAATTTAAAAATTGCATTGGTGAATGCAACTTTATATATCTACCACATGAAAAGACAACGTGACATGCTTAGCTAAGGAGTTTGCATGTTAATGGAAATCTATATGTTCAACAACATATACTTATATATGTTGTTCTCTCTAATAATGGAAGGTCTATGGAGGATTCTGAAAGTGCTACTTGCTATTAATGGTAGTTCTAAATACAGGACATAGTAAAAAAGATCTGATTATTGACAGGTGGTACATTCTACGTACATATATTACACAACAGAACAGTAAAATCAATGAGAGAGATCCCAGAGTGATCTTGATGCCCACCATTGTTTGAGCTGTATTTGACTGTAAAATCTTAAATGATTTCCCTTCCTTTTTTTTGCCATTCATTATATAAAATTTGAAAATTCTTTGAAGAAATTGGGATAATAATCTTTAATGTCAAATTAAAAATGACATGACAATCAGTGCCATTTTTTTTCTGATCAATCCTGAAATTTAAAGGGCACAACTAAGGACCAAGGGAAACCTATAAATGAGATCTGATAATAAGAGACCCAAGAGCCTGAACCATCCTTCGAGTCACAATACTTCTTGTAACATTTCATAGAAATGATTTTGTTTAAAAAAGTAAGAGAACTTTAACTACATTGTATACATAATGCAAATGTCTTTGAAGTTTCAATCAATTGGACCCATTTTTGGCCCTGCCTATCAGTCCCTGGGGGTCAGCTGTGGTCAGTATGTGAATCTCATCAAACTGTCAGCTTATAATAATAATTCAAACTAATTTGAACTATTTCTACAAGAAAATAAACAAATTATGCTCAAAAATGTAATTTTCCTATGTTAACTGTAGTAAATTTTACCCCTCCTCAGGGAAAAAATGTGAAGCCCTGGGAACATGAAATTTACAATTTTGGTAAAGCACCATAAGAAATGTCCATATCTAGATGCTGAGGAGAAGATTTTCAAAACTTCAGTCAATTTGACTCATTTTTGGCCTCGCTCCTCAGTCCCTGGGGTTAGCTGAGGTCAATATGTGCATCTCATCAAACTGTCCTCTTAAACTTATAATTCTAACCATATCTGAACTATTTCCAATGGTAATGAACAAATAGTTTTTAAAAATGTAACATTCCTACCCGGTATATAAACAATTGTAAACTTTACCCCCTTCTCAGTGGGAAATATGAGACCCTGGGATCATGAAGTTTATAATACTGGTAAATCATCTGAAAGCCTTTCCAGTAATAAAGAGTATTTGATTCTACACTACCTGGGATTTGAGAAGATGTTTGAAGTTTCAATAAATTTGACCATTTTTGGCCCTGCTCCTCAGGCCCCTGGGGGTTAGGGACCACATCATTTAAAATTTTGGTGTGCCTTTAGCTATCAAAGGCTTTTGTAAAATTTCATTGAAATCTGTTCATGAGTTTTCAAGAAGAAGTCTAAAATGTTAAGTTTACAATGCACAATGCATGACACTGGACAAAAGGGGATTGCAATAGGTCACCATGAGACTTTGTCTCAGATGACCTAAAATCCATCCAGTCCTTCCCAAGAAAGAGTGATAACAATTTTCATAATCAAAATATAAGATCTTTCAGCTACTTTGTTTTCCAGATCAGCCCCAAAATCAAACAGGTACAATGGGGGACAAAAAAGAAAGCTGTATATAAAATTTGGGAAAAATCTATCAAATTTATGACTGTCAAAAAATTGTATGGTAGCCTATGGGTCATCTTCGTTTTTTACCAAATCAGTCTGAAAATGGCCTAAGGACAATTTGACTGACCACTAACCACGGAGGGAGGGCTTTTTGAACAGCCTGCCACCTAATGATGGTGGGCTAAAAATGCATTACTTTTCTGTTTTTTAAACCTATTTCTTCGGTTCACTTTCTTCTCTGGAAAACTTCCTTTATGATCTATGAAATATTGTAGCTTCCTCGGTATTTCTTGTTCCTCTTCATTTTTAGGAGGCTTGTTTGCCGTTTTGTCTTGCCTAAAGCTGAAATAAATTAAAATGGCATAATATACATGTGCTAAAGGCAGTAAAACAAATAATTTAGCTGTTTGCATCTCCTACATATGAGACTGCAGATAGGCTTTGAAATTCTGACAGTAAACAGCTGCAGATAAACTGAGATACACATGCATACCTTATAAAAAGTAAAGACATCACTGTATAATATATTTGTAGATATATCACAGATTTCGATATTTAAAAATATCAGTTATTTTACATAGACCTCTTTCAAATGCACATCATGTATACAATTTGGAAATTATGTGATTGGAGCTCTGTAATTAAAAAACAGTTCTTTGTTTTTCCAGTGTTTGTCTAATTCATTTTTAAATTTGTTAATATTACTTGCTGAAATTACATGTTCAGGTAATTTATTCCAAATGGTTACCGATCTTAATTGAAAAAAAGTTTTTCCTTAGCATGGTTGAAGAACTCTTTGGATATATTGTTCTTGAGTTAACTCGAGGACTATGTCGTTGAGCAGCGTTATCCCATAACATTACTGAACTGCAGCATTCCTGATTGTATACTTCGTTAATAGTTTTGTAAAGTTCTATCAAATCTCCTCTTACTCTTCTGAAGGCTAATGTTGGTAGATTTAGTTTCTCCAGTATCTGGCTGTAGCTGAGGTTACTCATGCCTGGGAGGTTCTCAGTTGCCCTTCTTTGTATTCCCTCTGTCTTATTGGTGTGCTTTATTTGATATGGTGCCCATACGGGGCTCGCATAATCTATTTGTGAGGCATTGGCATAAAGGAATAAAAGACCTATGATCCATAAACTGGAAAGTTCTCCTAAGAAAAACAAACATGGAGCTAGCATTTTAAACTTTATCACTTATGTGATTATCAAAGGATAAATAGGTATCAATTATAACACTAATATCTTTCCCCTGGGTTACTGTCTGTGTGTCCAATTGAGGTGACATGTTGAGCAGAAGGTTTCCTGTCCTTGAGCAGTCTCATTACCCAATCTCATGTGTTTGCATTTGTCCAGGTACATTTCAAGGAGCCATGTGTGTAATATACTTATTAGGTGGTTGTGTGAAACAGTATCAAACGCCTTTTTGTATCCATATATATATACACAATCAATATACTGCCCTTTATCTAAAACCTCTGTCTATCTAATATTCTAAAGGTTGCAAGGGTGTTGATTTCCCATATAAGAAGCTATACTGCATGGTTGAAAAATAATTGTTGTTTTTCATGAACTTGTAGATGTGTTTTCTTATATCTGTTGCAGGATTTTGCTTATGACCAATGTTAAGCTAACAAGACAGCAGTTTCCAGTAGTTCTGAATCAATCTCTTCTTTTACAGTCTAGTCTGTCATTTCTTCATTAACCTCTTTTCGATACAAGCAAGGTGTGACTTCCTCCTCCCCTTCCTTCACAAAAACATTACTGAAAAACTTACAAAGTACATCTGCTTTATCTTTATCAACTGTGGTTTTTGGTGAATTTTCATCTTCTGGGTTTGAGTAGAGATCTCCAGTATTTGCTGTTGTTGTTGATTTTGATTTTATATAGTTCCAGATTGCTTTAGGGTCTGTTTTGGCTTTTTTAGCAATATTACATTAATACTGTTTCCTGAGTTTACGAGTAAGTTTCCTTACTTTATTTCTGAACTTATTATTCTCATTCCTTGTTGCTACATTCTTACTTTTTATTGCCTTCTTAGATAATGAGTGTTTTTTGTATGGCTTTCTTTGTCGTTTCATCCATGGGAAAGCTGTACTTATTGTTTCTTCCTATTGCAAAGATCTTTGTTGGCACATGATTTTCTACTTCTTTTAGTATACGCCTGAAGTTGATCCAGATGTACATGCTGTTCGGTGAATATGATGAGATATTGAAATACCTGCACCGTTTTTGAGTTTGCATACTAATGTGGTGAAGCTGACAGACAACAAGAATATACATAATATCGTGGTGTGATTGTGGGTTTTCTATATCCACTGTAAGACGATCCTAAATCGGCGGGGGTTGGAGGGAGAATGATCTGGTTTTAGTTAACAATTAAAATTGTAGGGATTTGTCAAATACGTTACCTCTTTCTGTCACCTTCAAGTGACGGGTCGAACGGTAACACCTTCTTATGTTTTCTGCTTTTCTGTGGTTTACCAATTTTACCCATGTTTACCCTAAAGGCGAATTAAAACATAGCCGTGCACGTTGTTTATAAATATTTTCCCACTTCCTGTGAATTACGTACCAGCACAATAATGATGACGTAGTTCACACTTCCTGTTTTGCTCAAGAGCATTTCCAGTGAATAACATATGCAAGTACTCGGAAACAGAAATGATGTAAAGCTTTTTAGTGGTGAGTTTTTCACTAATTGGATAACATACAGTTGTACATGTACACTATGTTTGTACATAAATATATGATCAACATGTACGTAATACTTTACTTTAGTGCAAACTTTTCTGTAGAAACAAACTCCGAATGATACCAGTTGTCGAATACTAATACCAATCACATTAATACATTTAGTCCTATGAGTTCGAACAATCTCAACTCCTGAACATGATAAACAGCGCAAACAAACGAGCTGTGAACGAACATTCAAACAGTTTAAACATAGGCAGTCCTCACTAAGCACAGCAGTAATTGATAGTGGTGTAATGATAGGTCGACATCGATGCGATAGCTTTGCTCTTGATAGCAATAAGTTGATAGTAAAATTTCAAGTTAGTAGCTATCGCGATGGTTTGTTCAACTATTCATTGTCAACAATCGTTTCGATAACTAAACAGAAACGATACTTGAAAGCAAGATTTTCACGGAGTTACTGCCAAAAGGCTGCAAGCCTTCATTTATTTATGAACACGTCATTGGGACCTCAATCCGATTAGCACTAAAAACAGGAACAGCACAATCACCAATTTAGAATGGAAACAGAATTTTAATCACAAGTTGTTACATTGATGATCTTCAATAAGTGGTACATCAAATTAAATCTACAAACTACATTTCCATCAAAACATATCAGAGCATACATGAATTTCTGAATTCAAATGCTTGAAAAGAGGCAATAAAAATACACAAAACTGTATGAAATATATTTATTTAACAGGTTTTACATCCACTATTGTGGCCTTTTGGCCTTTCATTGGACAAATAAAATATGATGAATCTTCTTGGCCCTCTCTGTGTTACATGAGTGGGTAGATGGGGAAAAGCAAAGAAACAGCACATGTGGATGTTTGTCACAAAATGAGCTGACACAACACAGGAAAGAAACCCAGACATGTCTGGTCATTGATGACCACTAATGTAAAAATAATGACCAACAAGTATAGCACTCCCCAAACAAACACACCCACCATTGACTGTTGATATAGATATAGGAAGACAAGCAGACTTTGGCTGTGAACAAATATTTTGAGACACAAAATTGTTTACTCTTTAACCCACCATCATCAGATGATTTTGGTGTGGTTGGAATACAAATTGGCCAATAGACAGCCATCTTGGATTCATTAATTAAGTTTGTTATCAGTTTTTCTTGAAAGTCCTGGATCTCTCTCAAATTTCATATGTATGTTTCCCTTGGTCCCTTATTGTGTCTATTTGATTCTGGGACATATCAGAAAAACAAAATGACTGGCAGGTGGACATCTTGGATTTTTACATTGAAAGATTGTTATGGCTATTTAGTGAGAAGAAGTACTGGATGTATCTTTCTTAAATTTCATATGTAGGGTTCCTCTCAGTCCCTCATTTTGCCTATTTGATTTTCGGACTGATGAAAAAAAACCAAATGGCTGACAGGCGGCAATCTTGGATTTTGCCTAATAAAGTTTGTTATTGACATTTTCTATGGGACCTTTTATTTGTCAATATTTTCACCTGGAAAATTGTTATATGACTTGTATTTACCTTTTACACAACTTCTCTTGCATTGGTTGAATTCTAGATTGATAGCAATTTATTTCAAATAACTTTAATAATGATATCCTATTTTATATGTCTCATATTTCAGTTTTCATCTTTCAGCATACCATCATCAAGATAGAAGACTTTGCTATAGACAACATGGAAATGAGTCAAGCATCACTTCATACAAGGGAGTAGATGTATAACAGGGGTAAGTAATTGTTTTAATGACCATTAGTTTAGAAATAGAAAAGAAGTATGTAATTATGGAGACTGTTTTGACTGTTGTTTGGCGGGACATATTATACAAATGTACAATGGATTATAAGTATGGTGCATAAAAAAAGGAACCTGGAAGCTGCAATTCAACTTATATTGATTTTTCGCTAAAGCAATGGCCTCAAATACTTTATTACTGAAAGCCCAACTAGCTAAATTCAGTATTGTGCATTAGATTTCATTGTAACTTGGCACAGTGAAAGTATGTTGTATGTCGACATATTTAGGATTGGGATTTTAATTTAAGACATTGTAATTAGAAAAAGAATGGTCATTTGCAGTTTTAAATAACCATTGTTTATATATCAACTGTATCTCTTTCTGAAGGAACTTATCAATATCATTATGATGATTCTATTTTATATTTAAGTCTGCTTTAAATACATGTACATACCAGGTAAGTGCAAATGTCTATGCTAGACTTCAGGTTTTTTCTGGTGTTAGGAAGGCATCTAGAAATGTGTAAACTGATAGAAACTATATTTTCCCCAGGTTTAAGTATGATGTACATTTCATGTATTCTTCTGTTGCCCTAAGATCTATATTTGATATACTTCAGAATAATAAAAAATGATTCAAATCAACATTTGTAGATGTAACACATGTATTAAAAATCTGTCCCTTCTTTATCCAGGTAAGGTGTAGAAGCTATGAATCTTCAAGTACTCAAGAACCCTTCTGGAAGAGCATTACATACTTACCTGAAACATCATTTCAGGCCACTGTATACATCAAATATTGATAAAGCAGTGCATGTTTGTTGTAAGTCTGGTCCAGACTCTTTAGTCTGTCATTCTGTTAAAAAATCTGCTGTTCTGTCATCCATTTGTGGATGTAGTGATAACTTGAAAGGGCAGCATTACAGTACAACCAATGGGATGGGACCACACAGTGAACCTGACGAGGTGGATCCCATACTCAAAACTGCGACCATCTCTGACACAAAACTGTCAAATTTCACAGAGATTGTTCCAGGGAAGGGCCCTCCACCAGAACCTCCCGTCGACTGCTGCATGAGTGGCTGTGCTAACTGTGTGTGGATCACATATGCAGAGGAACTAAAGAATTATTACTGTGATGGAAAAGAAAGGGCACTGCATGAGATTGAACAAATTGACAACCCATCCCTGAAAGCTTTTATCAAATTAGAACTAAGTCTTTTATGACAAACCTTTTAATGATATAGATTTTAAAGTCTACACAGAACATGGAGAATGTGACTGAACACTGGGTGTGAGATCTTCTCTGAACAAAGTACATAATTAGTGGTATTTGCAACAATTTCAATTATCTGTGATAAACATTATTAAGAAAAGATGATAATAACATCTAAACTGGACTACTTAAAGATGATAGCACCTTTATGTCACAGTGACTTGCCTGAGGTCAGAGGTCAGACAAATTTTCATTCGATTTAACCTTTTAAAGGTTGAATGATGGCATTCTGAGGACCCCTGTGCCACCCTGATAAAGTGTACAATGTTGTTTCCTTTCATCCAGAAAAGATACATGATATATCTTAATAAAACATGAATTATATATGTCTGCACTGCCAAAGGACAACCTGCAGGTCAATGTAATTATCTCACTTTCACCTTCAGCTGGAAGTCAAAAAATAAGTTGAAGCGAATTAAAAGACAGTTGTGACAGTCAGTGTAAGCAAATCTCTTGCTTTATCTGTAATGAGCAAGTTTGACCTTTTAGCATTATGAATACATATTACCTAGATACAAAACCATTTTGTGATGGCATGCATGCATTATGTGTTTTATTTAATTTATCTTGTTTGACTTTTATTTAAATGAATTTAAAACAATATTGTTGTGTTTAATGTTTAGTCACTGATATAATGTTTTAATAAGGCTGTTACCTAGTGTAAAGTTCATAGTTTAAAGTTAATGGCATTTTTTCAGTATTTTCAGTTTTAAAAGATATAATTTTTTAATGTAAAGATTTCATTTTAAGTCTGGGGATGTGATCATATTCCTAAATAAAAGATTAAAAGATTTAGGACTACTTCCTAATGTCAAACTTCATGCCAGGGAGTCGTGTTGTGTGTTGCATCTTAAATGTGACAACAAACAATTTTTAAATTCATTTCTTTGTGATATTGTAATAGAAGTTCTTGTAAGAAAACCAGAAGAAGAGGTGAAGAAAATGTTCCAAAATAACCTCTGTGTCCCATTTCTAATCTATGTATATGGTTCATTCTGAGTGTTGATACTACATCTTTTTCAAATAAGGGAACAGGAACACTCTGATCCCAGAAAGCTATGAGAAATAAGTGTCTATGACGATTGTGATGGACATGATCACTTCCTCTTTTAAAATTCATAGAAGAAGGACAACTCTTAGTAGACGATAACAGAGTTATCTCCAATGGAATATTCTTGTGATCACTTTACCTTTGTTTGTTTACTGTTATCAAAATTCAATAAAAATGACAAACTTACTTCAGGTTTTATTTTCTTTTGTTTTGAAAATGCTTTCGGGCAGACATAACATGAAAGAGAATATAATAAGGACGGTTTGTATTAAATATACTTTGTTCTGTGATATAGTATATTCCAGGTAATACTGTTGTAATTTATATTCTATAATATACTATACCTGATGTCTTACACTTGTTGTGTTACACCTGTTTATTACACCTGTTGTATTACACTCGTTGTATAACACCTGTTGTATAACACATGTATAAAACACCTGGTGTATTTCACCTGGTGTATTACACCTGTTGTATTATACCTGTTGTATAACACATGATGTATAACACCTGGTGTATTACACCTGTTGTATTATACCTGTTGTATTACACCTGTTGTATTATACCTGTTGTATTACATCTGTTGTATTATACCTGTTGTATTACACCTGTTGTATTATACCTGTTGTATTACACCTGTTGTATTACACCTGTTGTATAAAACATGTGTATTACACCTGTTGTATTACACCTGTTGTATTATACCTGTTGTATTACACCTGTTCTATTATACCTGTTGTTTTACACCTGTTGTATTATACCTGTTGTATAGTACCTGATGTATTACACCTGTTGTATGACACATAATGTATAACACATGATGTATTACACCTGTTGTATTATACCTGTTGTATAGTACCTGATGTATTACACCTGTTATATTACACCTGTTGTATTATACCTGATGTATTACACCAGTTGTATAATACCTGTTGTGTTACACCTGTTGTATTATATCTGTTTTATTACACCTGTTGTGTTACACCTGATCTATTACACCTGTTGTATTACACCTGTTGTGTTACATCTGTTTTATTACACCTGTTGTATTATACCTGTTGTATTACACATGATGTATTACACGTGATGTATTACACCTGTTGTATTACACCTGTTGTATAAAACCTGTGTATTACACCTGTTGTATTACACCTGTTGTATTATACCTGTTATATTACACCTGTTGTATTATACCTGTTATGTTACACTTGATGTATTACACCTGTTGTGTTACACCTGTTGTGTTACACCTGTTGTATTTTACCTGTTGTATTACACCTGTTGTATAATACCTGTGTATTACACCTGTTGTATAAAACCTGTGTATTACACCTGTTGTATTATACCTGTTGTATTACACCTGTTGTATTATACCTATTGTTTTACACCTGATGTATTATACCTGTTGTATTACACCTGTTGTATGACACATGATGTATGACACATGATGTATTACACCTGTTGTGTTACACCTGTTGTATTACACCTATTGTATTATACCTGTTGTATTACACCTGTTGTATTACACCTGTTGTGTTACACCTGATGTATTACACCTGTTGTATTACACCTGTTGTATTATACCTGTTGTATGACACATGATGTATGACACATGATGTATTACACCTGTTGTATTATACCTGTTGTGTTACACCTGATGTATTACACCTGTTGTATTACACCTGTTGTGTTACACCTGATGTATTACACCTGTTGTATTACACCTGTTGTATTATACCTGTTGTATGACACATGATGTATAACACATGATGTATTACACCTGTTGTGTTACACCTGTTGTATAACACCTGTTGTATAGTACCTGATGTATATGACACCTGTTGTATTACACCAGTTGTATTATACCTGATGTATTATACCTGTTGTATTACACCAGTTATAAAATACCTGTTGTGTTACACCTGTTGTATTACATCTGTTGTATTAAACCTGTTGTGTTACACCTGATCTATAACACCTGTTGTATTACACCTGTTGTATTACACCTGTTGTGTTACATCTGTTTTATTACACCTGTTGTATTATACCTGTTGTATTACACCTGATGTATTACACCTGTTGTGTTACACCTGTTGTATTAAACCTGTTGTGTTACACCTGTTGTATAGTACCTGATGTATTACACCTGTTGTGTTACACCTGTTCTATTACACCTGTTGTATAGTACCTGATGTATTACACCTGTTGTATTATACCTGTTGTGTTACACCTGATGTATTACACCTGTTGTATTATACCTGTTGTATTATACCTGTTGTATTACACCTGTTGTATTACACCTGTTGTATTATACCTGTTGTATTACACCTGTTGTGTTACACCTGTTGTATTATACCTGTTGTGTTACACCTTTTGTGTTACACCTGTTGTATAGTACCTGATGTATTACACCTGTTGTGTTACACCTGTTGTATTACACCTGTTGTATAGTACCTGATGTATTACACCTGTTGTATTATACCTGTTGTGTTACACCTGATGTATTACACCTGTTGTGTTACACCTGTTGTGTTACACCTGTTGTATTATACCTGTTGTATTTTACCTGTTGTATTACACCTGTTGTATAATACCTGTGTATTACACCTGTTGTATTACACCTGTTGTATAAAACATGTGTATTACACCTGATGTATTACACCTGTTGTATGACACATGATGTATAACACATGATGTATTACATCTGTTGTGTTACACCTGTTGTATTACACCTGTTGTATTACACCTGTTGTATGACACATGATGTATAACACATGATGTATTACACCTGTTGTGTTACACCTGTTGTATTACACCTGTTGTATTATACCTGTTGTATAGTACCTGATGTATTACACCTGTTGTATTATACCTGATGTATTATGCCTGTTGTGTTACACCTGTTGTATTATATCTGTTTTATTACACCTGTTGTGTTACACCTGATCTATTACACCTGTTGTATTACACCTGTTGTGTTACATCTGTTTTATTACACCTGTTGTATTATACCTGTTGTGTTACACCTGTTTTGTTACACCTGTTGTATAGTACCTGATGTATTACACCTGTTGTGTTACACCTGTTGTATTACACCTGTTGTATAGTACCTGATGTATTACACCTGTTGTATTATACCTGTTGTGTTACACCTGTTGTATTACACCTGTTGTATAGTACCTGATGTATTACACCTGTTGTATTATACCTGTTGTGTTACACCTGATGTATTACACCTGTTGTGTTACACCTGTTGTATTATACCTGTTGTATTTTACATGTTGTATTACACCTGTTGTATAATACCTGTGTATTACACCTGTTGTATTACACCTGTTGTATAAAACCTGTGTATTACACCTGCTATATTACACATGTTGTATTATACCTGTTGTATTACACCTGTTGTATTATACCTGTTGTGTTACACCTGATGTATTACACCTGTTGTGTTACACCTGTTGTATTATACCTGTTGTATTTTACCTGTTGTATTACACCTGTTGTATAATACCTGTGTATTACACCTGTTGTATTACACCTGTTGTATAAAACCTGTGTATTACACCTGCTGTATTACACATGTTGTATTATACCTGTTGTATTACACCTGTTGTATTATACCTGTTGTATTACATCTGTTGTATTATACCTGTTGTATTACACCTGTTGTATTATACCTGTTGTATTACACCTGTTGTATTACACCTGTTGTATAAAACATGTGTATTACACCTGTTGTATTACACCTGTTGTATTATACCTGTTGTATTACACCTGTTGTATTATACCTGTTGTTTTACACCTGTTGTATTATACCTGTTGTATTACACTTGTTGTATTATACCTGTTGTATTATACCTGTTGTATTACACCTGTTGTATTACACTGGTTGTATAACACCTGATGTATTACACCTGTTGTATTACACCTGTTGTATTACACCTGTTGTATTATACCTGTTGTATCACACCTGTTGTAGAGTACCTGATGTATTACACCTGTTGTGTTACACCTGTTGTATTATACCTGTTGTATTACACCGGTTGTATAACACCTGGTGTATTACATGTTTCTGGGATCTTTTTGTGAAGTTTACAGACTTTTTCCATAAACAACCCCTCCCCTTTCCTTATGGCCCTTCTTACAGAATAATATCATACTTTTACAAGATCCATCAATGTATTGTATTGCATCAATTGATAGAAATGATAATCTGGGTCAGAATCATGAAGTACCACACGTTTAACAATGTCCAGTTTTGAATTGTGTTGTACTATAAAAAAACACCAAATAATTCTGTCTGCAGTCAGTTCTTGTCCTTTCTCTAGTAGACAAGAGAGAAAGAATATATTATATCTGTAGGCCAATCCTGTCCTCTCTATAATAGACAACAGAGAATCTATTATATCTGTAGGCCAATCCTGTCCTCTCCATAATAGACAACAGAGAATCTATTATATCTGTAGGCCAATCCTGTCCTCTCCATAATAGACAACAGAGAATCTGTTATATCTGTAGGCCAATCCTGTCCTCTCCATAATAGACAACAGAGAATCTGTTATATCTGTAGGCCAATCCTGTCCTCTCTATAATAGACAACAGAGAATCTGTTATATCTGTAGGCCAATCCTGTCCTTTCCATAATAGACAACAGAGAATCTGTTATATCTGTAGGCCAATCCTGTCCTCTCCATAATAGACAACAGAGAATCTATTATATCTGTAGGCCAATCCTGTCCTCTCCATAATAGACAACAGAGAATCTATTATATGTGTAGGCCAATCCTGTCCTCTCTATAATAGACAACAGAGAATCTATTATATCTGTAGGCCAATCCTGTCCTCTCTATAATAGACAACAGAGAATCTGTTATATCTGTAGGCCAATCCTGTCCTCTCCATAATAGACAACAGAGAATATATTATATCTGTAGGCCATTCCTGTCCTCTCCATAATAGACAACAGAGAATCTATTATATCTGTAGGCCAATCCTTGCCTCTCCATAATAGACAACAGAGAATATATTATATCTGTAGGCCATTCCTGTCCTCTCCATAATAGACAACAGAGAATCTATTATATGTGTAGGCCAATCCTGTCCTCTCCATAATAGACAACAGAGAATCTATTGTATCTGTAGGCCAATCCTGTCCTCTCCATAATAGACAACAGAGAATCTAT